ACACGCTGCTGTAATTGCTGTTTGTCTTTTCCCTTAGAATGTGAATACTGATTAATGAGAACTTTCTTTCAGATAGTATTCCAACTCTGCCAGATTTAACTCCACTTTTCATCACTATTGACCCGGAGAGGGACACAAAAGAAGCCATCGCAAATTATGTAAAAGGTGTGTTTTATTCACAATAGTTTACATATGTTTAGCTCTTACAGTTTTTGAAAGATCAGCTTATTTGGACCTTGGAATGCTTTATAAGATACGGGGGACATATGATACTGTCACCAGTTTTACAGGTGGATGAAAAGAGTCTCAGAATTGTGACTGTGGCCAGTAAGTAAATAAGGAAGAGGCCTCTCAGTTCCTGGTGCAGGGCTCTTTATTTTGTCACAGAGGAAAGATTGAACTTGGCCTTCACATATCAACAAAGTAAAGAGACCCTTGAATTGAGGGGACACATTGTTTCTGATTCCAGCTCAGTACCTCACTCTTCTCTTTGTAAAATTAGGACAGACAGACATTCTGGGAGTATGTTCATTGGGAGATTAAAGAAAAATTATGAAATATAAGCACATTTTGAATTCATAGTGTATATTTTATAAATCTAAAATATTAATGATAAACACATTTAACCATTTTAAGGAAGAATTTCAATTCAAACATCTCAACATGCACTTAAAAACTATTAGAAGGTACTTTTAAAGACTATAAATTATGCTAGAATTAAGGGTGAATATTTAGGTTCTTGTGAGCTTGGGTAATTTCTCTGAATTCAAGTTTCTTAAGCTGAAAAAAGTGATGAGAATAAAAATCTGATCAGACAGGTTTTGTTGTTGTTGTACTAGTGTGTGGAACATGCGTGCTTAAAAATCAGGAACTTCCATTTTAATTATGGTGGAATTGATTTAAGCTACTGGTCAGAAGGACTAATGAATAGTTTTCTATTTATTTTTATTGTATGATACCTTCTAATGCATATCCACTAAAACTTTGAGTTATCTTAAAATGTGTCTTATGTAAGACCTGCTGTATATTTTATTATTTAACTCATGTATTGAGAGATAGTTGACATATAAAAAGAGTACATACTTAAAGTGCACAGTATGTTACCTTTTGACACATGTGTGCACCCGGGAAACCATCACCACAGTCAGAGTGAACATATCCATCACCCCCAGCAGCTTCCATGTGCCCTTGCTAATTCCTCTTTCATGTCCCTCCTCTGCACCCACCTCATATCTCCAGTTAACCACTGATCTGCTTTCCATCAATATAGATTAGTTTGCATTTTTAGAAGTTTATGTAAATGGGATTATACAGTATATGCTCTTTCTTTTTAATAACTTCCTTCAGTGTAATTATGTTGAGATTCATCCGTGTTGTAGCGTGTGTCAATAGTTCATTTTTATTGCTGAGTAGTATCCCATTGATGGACATTGGAGTTATTTCCAGTCTTTGGCTATTACAGATAAAGCTGCTGAGCACTCGTGTACACGTACGTCCTTGTGTGGGCACATGCTTTCATTTCTCTTGAGTAAATACCTGCGAGTGGAGTGGCTGGGTCATATGATAGGTGAATGTTTAACTTTTTAAGAAACGGACACTTTTTTCCAAAGCGGCGGTACGTTTTTACACTCGCGCTGGCAGTGTGAGAGCTCCAGCTCCTCCACGTCCTCGCACACTTAGTAGGGCCAGTCTTTTTAATTTTAGCCACTTCAGTAGGTGCTTAGTGGTATCTCATTGTGGTTTTATTAATGCGTTTCCCTTAATAACTTTTAACATTAAGCATCTTTTCATGCCGTTATTTGCCATCTGTATGTCTTCTTTGGTAAAGCATCTCCACATCTTTTACTCATTTTTATGGGGCTGTTTATTTTTACTTATTTATTTATTATTTATAGTCCTGATACAAGTCTTTTATCAGGTGTATGATTTGCAAATATTTCCTCCCGGTCTATGGCTTGTCGTGTCAGCCATGGCTTTTGAAGAGCAGTTTCCATTTTGATGAAGTTCAGTTTATTAGCTTGTTCTTTTATAGATAATTTTTTTGGTTTCATATGTGAGAGATCTTTGCCTAACCCAAGGTTACAAAGGTTTGTTTTCTCGTTGAAGTTTTAGAGTTTTTACTATATATAAGCAGAATTTATGTCCACAGTTTACAGGTATGTCAGAAATTTGACCAATAGCATCGTTATTTTCTAAAGCAGTAAAAAGCAGGTATAACTCATTGGGTGATAAATGATCTCCAATTTAAATGTGTGTCATATTGGCAATTGTTTATTATCACATATTAACCAAACCTTAGATAATCCCCAAATGAGTAGACATTTGAGTTGCCATACCTAATGGAAATACCAAAACCTTATGGTAATATTCTTCATCAGCAGGTACATACAGTGACTGATGATGTGATCATTTCTAGTTGCATTTGGGGGGGATTTTTAAATATTTAAGTTGGTATTTAGAAAATTACTGCAATTTCAACAATTTTTTGAAAAGGTTTGGATGTGCAGCTAATTCAGGCTTCACTCACCTTCTCTTCATTTAGTCAGAGCATAGGGAAGAACAGGCCACCTTGCTTTTTCAGCACCTGAGCAGTTTTTCAGTTTAGAATGTTATAGTCCAAAGAATAAAAATAGGCTACCTCTACCTTTGGAAGAAGGTACTGCTCTTAAATGTTGGACTCGGCTCAGGAGTCTGATGAATCCAGGTCTTTTAAGTGACTTCCCCAGCTTACTTACATGAATTGCAAAAACTTAATAGCAAGTGCATGCTGTGAGGTTTTATGTTAGAAAATGAGATACAGGTATTTTGATCTGGTATGAACTAATTGTCAAGCAAACTTTTTTCTCATATGATACAATGGAAAACTGTCGTGCTTAATTCATAATAGTATCTTTAAACTTCAGCATATCTCAGAACTACACCTAAATAAGAACCACTAAATTAACAAAAATTGTGATTTAAATAATTAGAATATATTCCCTCCAGCTCTTTACTAGTCATGAAAGGATTTGACTTATATATTACCAAAAACCAACTTTTGGTTTCATTGCTCTTCTCTGTTAATAGCCTGTTTTAAGTTTCATTGATGTCTGCTCTAATTCTCTTCTTCTGCATACCCTGGATTTAATTTGCTCTTTTTCTAGATCCTAAGGTGGAAACTTATATTATTGATTTTAGATCTTCTTTTCTACTATATGGATTCAATAAGTTGTGTTTCCATTTTTATTTTATTCAAGATATTTTTAAAATTTCTCTTGAGATTTTTTTCTTTGGCTCATGTGTTATTTAGAAGTGTGTTTAATTTCCATGCGTTTGAGGATTTTCCAGATATCTTTCTGCCATTGATTTCTAGTTTAATTCCAGTGTGATCTATCTTGGTGAATGTAACATATATTACAGAGGAGAATTTTCATTTGTTTTATGCGAATTTGTTTTTCTTTGAAACATGAAGAAATGTTTAGGGACTCACAGGAAGAAAGTGGCAGTAGGGCTGCTGTATAACGGATACTGTTTTTTGAAGTGTAGGGATGGTTGTTTTGCTTGCTTCTTTTTCACTGTCTTTCTCATTTTTTATTTAGAATTTTCTCCCAAACTGATTGGCTTAACTGGCACAAAAGAAGAGATCGATCAAGTGGCCAGAGCATTCAGAGTGTATTACAGCCCTGGCCCCAAGGATGAAGATGAGGACTACATAGTAAGCAAATGCACAGCTTTCAACACCTGGACAGGCTCCCAGGTCCCAGACATTCATATAGCTTTCCGTGATGACTGGCTTTTAAAATGAAATTAAAATGAAAGATAATCTGAGATCATAGCAAATTCCTTAATAATTAGGGATGTTTGAAAGGATGGAAGAAGTATATATATTTTTTGAAGGATGATTGTTTAATTTATAGTCATTGTTCTTAGAGTTTAATTGCCTGCTTTTCTAGTGGCACATAAAATTATAGAGCAATATAAAATCAGGGATATCTTAGATTCAATAGAATATAATATAATCGTTTGGGGCAAAGCTCATTTTAGTTGATAAACATTGTATTGGTTCTCTCTGCCCTCAATGAAGAGGTATAAGAAATATACTCCTTTTGAGAAATAGTGTTAGGCCGTAGGGAACTGCGTTTTTGGGTTGAGTGAGTAAGAATTCTGAAAAGCAAGAGAAAAGAAGGCCATAGGCAACTAGGCTTCCCATAAGATTTCTTTTCATACCAACTATGTGTTTGCATAATTTTGTGTTTAGTTGCATTTGCAGCTATTATGCTCTACATAATTAGGATTAATTAATTTAATTTAAATTTTTAATTAATTAAAATAATTAATTTTAAAACTTAATAAAGTTTTTTTTAATGATGAAGAACAAATTCTATCAGGTTGTTCTTCTATAGCTCTTACATTAAAGAGCCGTCTTCACATCCATCGGCACTGCCCAGGAGTCCTGGGTCACCTTGTTCCTGTTCTAGTCAGTGGTTTCACAGTGAAGCATAAGCGCCACCCCTACACACCCAGTTTCCTTCTCAGTGTGGATGTTTTTCCCTATCACATGAAGAGTTGACATTGTATTTTAGTATTATTTCAGGTTTTTTCCTCAGTTGTCATGCTCTAGTTTCTCTATAGTATTGGTTAGACAAAGATTAATCATAAGAGCCTTTCCAGCCACAGAGCTGGTTTTGTAGAAAGAAAGATGGTCAGGATCCTGGGTCGTTGCTCTTCCCGCAACGCCATGGCCAGCTCCCAAGAGTGACATGCAGAGGGGACATCCCACTGTGGTGCTTTGTCTCTATGGCCCACTGTGATTTCCTCACCACTTTTGAACCTGGAGCACATGTGCCCCTGTAGCTTTTTTCTTCTTTAATATTTTATTATTTATTTATTTGGTTGTGCTGGGTCTTAGTTGTGGCAGGCGGGCTTCTTAGTTGTGGCATGTGAACTTTTAGTTGCGGCATACGTGTGGGATCTAGTTCCCTGACCAGGGATCGAACCCAGGCCCCATGCACTGGGAGCACAGAGTTCCAACCACTGCGCCCCCAGGGAAGTCCCAGCACTGTAGCCTTTGGCCTAAATTAAAAGCACGTTTCTGGTCCCTTTGCCTTAAGCCCACACAGTAATCTTATTTTCTAGTTCTGGTGCCTCATAGACTTAGGGAAACTTGGGTTCATGGGAGAAAAAGACAAGAAAAATTAGCATTTTCTTCTTACACCCTAAGTTTCAGGAAAGTAGAGGGACCCTACTGTGGTTTCCTCTTGTCACACCAGCAGCATGAGAAGAGTGAGAGGAGAGCAGAAAGGAAGCTTTGGAGAAACAAGAGCTTTTCAGAATTCGTTACTCTTCCTATGAAAGAGTTGTATTGACTGGTTTTGAGGTTTAACTTATGATGATAGTGGGAGCAGTTGAGCTAGTCAGTCTGACTTCCACTGCTGAATAGTTTTATTAAATTGTTTACATACGTACAGTTGTAAACTAGGTAACACCCTTTAGTCTTGTTGCTTATAGCTCATAATTCTAGAGTTAAAATTAATTTTACAAATTAGAGCAAACAACTTATAAACAAGTAAAACATGGGCTTCCCTGGTGGCACAGTGGTTGAGAGTCCGCCTGCCGATGCAGGGGACACGGGTTCATGCCCCAGTCCGGGAAGATCCCACATGCCGCGGAGCGGCTGGGCCCATGAGCCATGGCCGCTGAGCCTGCACGTCCGAAGCCTGTGCTCCACAATGGGAGAGGCCGCAACAGTGAGGCCCATGTACCGCCAAAAAAACAAAAACAAGTAAAACATTCAGTTAATGTAGTAAGAGGTACTTGGCTGAAACCGAAGCGCTCCTCAGCACAGGAATGTGATTTGAGACACCCACCTCTATAGTAAGCCGCCCCTCGTGGTTTTTTATTTAAATTACTTTGAAACCTTTCATTGTGTAGCCTACCTGGAGTGGTTGGTCTTGACTTAGTAAGAATGCATCTTTTTCTTGTCTGACTGTAACCAGCAGTATACGGCGAGGTGCCAGTGAACTCGTAAACATAAATAAGGTTTGGGCACTGAGATGTGCACTCTAAGGTAGCCATGCAGATAATCCAGAATATGGATATTACGTTTTTTAGTCTTAAAAATCAAGATGTAAATATGTACGTCTTACGGAGATTCTTGGATCCTCTAGAACCCATCCCAGACCCCATTTTGACAAGTAAATAAATACTGGTCTACTGCCATAAGAATGTGACGTTTGATAAGAATCAGTGAGTTCACTGCTGTACATTTGCCAAATCAACCAGTAGGGGGAGACACTCTCCAGCTTCTTGGGTTTTTCATTAGTATGACTTCTGTCCCTTGAGGTTACAGATTTTAATCCGCAAGATGGTATGGGAAACTTCTCTTAAGATTTAAGGACATGAAAGGAATGAGGGAGTACCTTAAAGGTTGAGATATAAAGGAATGAAGTTTTCTTAATCTCGATAGCAACAGAGGTGAGCTTCTGGCTTTGAATACGAGTGGCATCCTCTGACCCATAGTATATGTCACGCAGGTTACAAGCGTTTAGAATTCCACTGAAAGCTAAATGTGCACATCATTGTGTTATATGTATAGTATTACATTATTTTCTAAATATTAATTAGGAAATACTTTTGCAAAAGAATACAAATAGCTTTTACACCTAAGAAAAGATGTTCAGTTTTATTCACAATAAATGTGAATTGTATAATGTGATGCCGTTTTTCACCTGTTAGATCAGAAAGGCCAAAGATACTGTCAAAATCTAATTTAGGAAAAGAGAAAATGCTGCAGTGTTGGAGTGAAATTGGACCAGCTGGCACTTTCATGCATTGTTGATGGGAATTAAACTGATACGCCCTCATAAGAAGGCTGTTTGTCAGTATCATCAGCATTTAAAGTGGAATACTTTTTAGGTTAGAGACCCCATTTTTTGGAATTTGTCCTACAGAGATAACCTATAGCATTGTTTGTAAAAAAAGACTGGAAACCAAGCAACCATTCTTTAAAAGGCTACTATATATGTACTGATAGAGAACAACGTCCAGTATATTGCTAAGTGAGAAAACAAGTATAGTGTGTTGTTAACTCTGTCTAAAAAGAAATAGGTGGTTATCGACACACTAATAGATGCAGAGGGTTTCTCTGGAAGAATAACAGCAGGAACTGGTGGTAGTGGTGCCCTCTGAGGAGAACTGAGGGACTCTGGGCGTCTGGAAGGAGTGGAAGACTTCATTGTATACATTTACTGTGTATTCTTTCATTCTTACTTACATATGATTTGCTGTGCCCACAACCCAAGTGAGACGTGACCACTGACAAGTTTGATAGTTTGAGTAGAACAATTTTTTTATTATGTATTAAAAAGTAATTTATGTGAAGAACACTCATAAAATAAGCCCAACACGTGCTGAAATTCTGTTTTTTTAAGGGGTAGAGAGAATAGAAAGAATAGGAAAGAGGAAGAAATGGGGAGAAAGAGAGGTATAAGCTGTGGAGTAGGGCTTTAAGAGACACCCGGAGACCTGGTTCTGACTGTCAGACAATTGGAGAAACGCGGGTTCCCTGTCCTTCCGCAGTGAATTACTCCCAGCCCCCTCAAGATCACCAGCTGTCTGAGCTCTCTGGGTCTACATTCTTTCCTTATGTGAATGAGCAAGTGGCTCTTTCCATTTACTCTCTCTTTATGAATGTGTGTGTATAAAAGCACGGTAACCTAATAGACACATCATGTGTCTGGGTATATTTGGGGTGTCTCCAGCTTGGTATATATGATCGCATTCCTGTCTGTCTTTTTGTCTTGCCAAACAGCAATCAAGCCTGGAATAAATTCCAAGGATTCTAAGTGCCATGTCTTCAACTCATTTAAAATTGGATTTGTGGAAGCATATAACTAAAAAAAATTGATGGCTAGTCTAAACTTTAGGTGGAGCTAGGAACACTTTAAGAACTTTGCCATGAAAGTGGATAATGGATTTAAGGTAATTCCTTGGGGGTGTAGCACTTACGGCTCCTGAGGAACTTCTGGGTGATGTGCTTCAGGTAGGATTGTTCAGCGTAGTAACATTTCTTAGGGGAGGACAACACTCGTTGTCATGTTTCCATTTGAGTCACTAATATGAGGACTAAATACTGTATTAGAATTTATATATTATATACTTAGTGGTTACTTTTCTTTTTTTGTTTGTAATATAACATGGTAAGCAGAATTTAGCCTGTTGAATGATCACCAGTTCTTCCTAAAACATAAAAGAATATACCCTAGAACTTAATAAAGAACGTATTTTTCACCAACACTTTTAATCCCGTGTGGTATCTCTTTATAATATGGTTAAGGGGTCAGATGAACTATTTTACTCATAAATGTAGGCTCTTCCCAAGCAGGCTTTGCTGTTCCCCAAGCATTGGCTGTTTAATGAAGGCTGGCAGTGGCCATTTCTTAGAAGTGCATTCTTTTCTCAGAAATTGTGTGGATGAGTGTGTTAAGGATTGAACCAAAAGAATTCCAAGTTCTAGCTGATGTGTCAGGCAGTAGTCGGCAAATTTCTGGAAAGATTTTAGATAATTCGTTGCTGTGTATTTAGTATAATAGACTTAGGCCTGTTCCATAAATAATAGATGCTACAAAGGTTGCTTAACTAGTAATGTGAAGTCTCTTATCCTGTAGCATTTATTCAGTAAAATAAGCAGCTTATTTTGGTGAACTTTTTGTCATCTCCTCCCCCCTCCTTTTCTCTGCAGGTGGATCATACAATCATAATGTACTTGATTGGACCAGATGGTGAGTTTCTAGATTATTTTGGCCAGAACAAGAAGAATGCAGAAATAGCTGGTTCGATTGCTGCGCACATGAGGGAACACAGGAAAAAGAGCTAGCCAAAGCAGCACGGCCGTGCGCTATTCTGCTAAAGAGGAAGGAAGCTTTGTCTCCCGTAGGGGCCGATACTTATATGTATATACGTGCAACCTACAGAATGGCCTTCATACCAGGAGAACACCTAAATTTTGGGCAGGGCATGCTACTCTTGGGTTAGCAAGGATGGATTCTTAACCAGAAGTCTCCCAAATGGTCGCCTTGAGACCAGAGGACCAAGTTGCCATGAAGCCAGCGGAATGGACCTCAGGGAAGGACACAGCTGGAAAGGATGCAGCCGTGGGGTCTCCACGTGAGCAGAGCCCTCTGATCAGCATGGCTGTCTCTCCAGTGTCTTGGACTCTTGCTCTGGCAGGGTGTAGTGAATTTCCAGGAAGAGCGTAACTTCCATAGTAACCTTGCTTTCCTCTTTGAGTTCTTGGTGGCTGATAACAATCAAATTAGGCTCTCTGACATTCACAGTTAATCTTTATGCTTGAAAGCATTAGTGTAGTCTTGCTTGTTAGTGAAAATCACTGTCAGGTTTGCATTGTGTTCCCCTGTCAGCAGGTGCTGATTTTACTAATGTAGAGAAAAGCTGTTGTTTGGGGCAAACCATTAGATCAGATTCCCTAGGGACCTTTCATGTGATTTTTTAGCTGAATGATGTGCCAGGCTTTCAGGGACCTGCCAAATGGGTATAAGAGGATACAGATCATGAGTGTGTACAGAGTACCTTCCTGCCTGTACTGGATTGCACTTGTCTGAAATAAAGGTGTGCTCAGTTTTGCAGCTTGGACAACCGTGGCCTTTTTTGTGGGTGCAGAGATGGCAGCTTATAGCTCTCTGGCCTGAGACCCCCAGACTCGAGGGGGCAGGTAGGTGGATGCTTGTTAAAGTGCAGGTTCCCGGGCTGGGTTCACTGAGCTGAGGAAGGATGCAAAGACCTGCGTTCACACCTGCCACCCCAGGTGCCTCTGATGCAGTGGCTGGGGGACTGGGGCCTCAAGAGACTGTTTTGAGGGTGAAGGGGGGCAGGTTTGCATCTGGGTGAGTTAGGTGCGTCATCTTCTGGTGTATCCATCCACAAAGTGCTAGGCAGACAGCCATTCAGGAAGATGCTGGCTTTTGTTTCTGAAACAAAAGCTACTCAAAACTTCCCTGCTGTCTGGACTTGACCGTTTATCACCATTCTCCACCTGAAGCTGCTGCAAAGCCTCTGAAAGTCTCAAGAAACAGTAACAGGTGTGGCGCCTCATCAGACATGGGCTTTCCTTGCACATCAGTTCTGTGCTCTGTGCATGTGACATGGCGTTATCTTCTGTTTTTTAAATTCTCAATACTTAATGTTAAAACCTACTATAGATATTTATGTCAAGGCATGTGAAAAAGAAAAGTCATAAACTCTGTAGTGGTTATGGGCTGAACTTTCCCCCAGATTCATGTGTTCGTTGAAGTCCTAACCCAGTGGAGACAGTCTCTAAAAGGGTGATGAAGTTAAAATGAGGCCTTTAGGGAAGGCCCTCATCCAACATGCCTGGTGTTCTTATGAGAAGAGATTGGGACACAGGCAGAGAGGAGACCACATGAAGACACAGAGAGGCCTCCAGAAACAAGCCCTGCCGACCCATTGATCTGGGACTTCTAGCCGCCAGAGCTGCTGAGACAATAAACATCTGTGGTTCAAGGCCCGGTGCTGTGGTACTTTGTGACAGCACCCTAGTGAACTCATACAGTGCCATTCTCCTTTTAGGTTCCCTTACTAAAAAAATACCAAGATTTAGTTTATATAAACTTCAACTCAGGAGTAGTTGGTTTGGAATGACTTTCCCAGGAACCTTGTCAAGAATGTGAGGAACTTAATAAAAGACTACTCTCATGTAACAAAGATCTTAAGTATCTAAAATGCCAGACGTTTGAAAAGATGGTCTGTTTTAAGCCACAGAACATTTGTGTGGATCACTTTGCAGCAGCTTGTGCCGGAGAAAATTCAGTCTTCATTCTCAGCTGTTGCAGGTTAGAGCTTGTGTCATGATCCAGAAAAGGAACAGAAGCTTTTGAAGAAACTTTTATTTGCTCTTCATTCCAGTGTCAAGTTTAGAGGCTCAGAAGCAGGGAAAGGCACCTCAGAGATGACAATCCAAATCTCTCTACTCATGAGCGGACAATCCCAGAGATTAAGCTGCTGGCTTCACTCCTGAGTCTAGATTAGAGCTTGGGTCCCAATTTCTAGTCAGGTCCCTGCCTGTCCCAGTGCTGTGGGGCACTCATGGGGACCTTGTGAATCCAGACAAAACGGGGGCGCTGTGCACCCGTGGGGCAACCCTTCCATTGTGAATCTCGGGAAATTAAAATCAAGGCCGCCTCTCAACAAAGTGCCACTTGCAGACCTTGACCTGGATTGGTTATGGTGTTTTTGCTGGACTGTTCAGTGGAATTAATATTTTAAGAAATGGCATTTATTTGAAAATTATAAGAATGCTGTCCATGCAGCAGGCCCGGAAGTACTTTCTGCATCTGGCTGTCCGTGAGGTAACTGATACCTCAGGTGTAAGAGCCGAGACTCACTGAATACCGGTAGAAAGCCCATGTGGGTCGGACAGCTAATGTGAACCCAGTAAATGATTTGAAATTGTGAATGCATCTGCATGAGAGACTGTAAAATATGTCATTGTTTTTAAATACAAGGTTAAAAGAAATTAAAATTTTCAAATCACCAATAGTGCTCTAAAGGAGTGTTTTATTTTGCATATAGCACAATTTAAATTGTGTGTGTGTGAGTGAGAGCTACCCTTTCAAAGAGCAGTCACACACGAGCATTTTTCATCCATTAAGCTGATACATTTTACTCGTAGTTCTGAGTTACATTACTCTGTAAAGATACGGGTGGTTATTCCTATTTATTAATGAGGTACAATTAATAACCTCTAGCCACGTGTTCCTTAATACCCTCTTTAGAACTTAGGTATTTTCTATTCATTTAAGAATGTACTTTAAAGTTTGTCTTTCCATGATTATAACATAAAAATTGGGAATATACAGAAAAGTTGAAGAAATTTTTAAACCACCATTGTTCCACCACCAGGAAACTATTTGGATGCATTTCCTTTGGATCTTCAACACTAATCTTTTATTGTAGTGGAAATCCACCAATGTGTTCCTTTAAAAAATTAGACATGGCAGGTCAAGCTCAAGTCTGTAACCAGCACTGCCCCACCTTCCTCATAGGCAACTGCTGTTTAGTGTTGGGTGGGTATCATTCCAGAGTATTAAGGACCCACGCAGGCTGTGTTCTCAGGCTCCAGTTATGAACACTTAAACTAGCTCAGTGCTGCTCAGTTTTTATGTAGCTGTTATTTTTGTTATATTTTGTATAATTATATTATTGAACTTGAAGGTAGCCCGAAATAGCCCCCTCTTGCCAAGGTTAGGTAGTGGATTAACTAGAGGAAAAAAAACAGCTTTCAGGGCAAACTTCAGTTGTTCCCTCACCATTGTTGATTGATGGCATCATTTCAGGTGTGTTGGTGGAGAGACTTCGTTCTCTGGGAATGGTGACGTGGAATTGGGGACCACACGGCCAGTAACCCTCAGAGCTGGCCCGACTCGGGCTCCTCCCCTGCAGGGGTGGCCGGTGTGCAGCGCCTGCACGCAGCCTGTCCGTCCATCGTGCGTTGCTCTTCAGGAGTTCATTGCCCTGAAACCAGCCTGGTTTCAATCCTGACGATGCTAAGGTAACCTCTCGAAGCCTTACTTTTCTTACCTGTAACATGGGGATATAATAGCACTGGTGTGGTAAGGTCGCTGTGAGGGTTAGAGAAGCCGTGTGGAACACCAGCACATGCTTAGGAAGTGATGGCTGATGTTATTTTTGGTCCTGATGAGGGCAGTGATTTGAGGCTTGCTTAACAGGTGGTGGCAGCAAGTGGGTTTGATTATAAGTGTTTACCCTGCCTCCACCCCCCTGCTCCCCACACTGGATCCTGCCTTGCAGTGTCCTAATTCCTGGAACTCTCCCATCTCCTGTCCCCCCGCCCCCACCCCATACATACCTGAGCCTGGAGCTGTTTGGTCACATTACCTTAATGAACTCTTCACACCTGTTTTCTTAAATGGTATTCAAATATAGAAAAAAAAGTTTCTGGGAAAAGCCATCAGGTTGAAACCAGAAGATTTGGGGTGTTTGGCCCTGACAGGAACAGCAGGGCATGAGCACACGGTCAGAGCAGCTTCTTCCTCAGGAGTGGGGTGGGCGCAGGGGCCTGTTAGTCTTCAAGCAGCTCTGAGTCTTCCAAGGAGGAGGGCAGTCCTCCATGTTCTAGAATGTGATGCTCAGGACAGCGGGTTGTTGGAGGGCTGCTGGCTGCAGCGAGGGCTTCGACCACAGGTGCAGCTGCTCCGTCAGATTGTGACTGTTCCTATCAAGGATTTCTGGCTTTAACAATGGAGTGTCACTCCCACTTTGACCTAAGGGGCCAGTTGCTGTGTCTGGCTGCTCAGATTTTCCTGGGGCCTAGTTTCTGCCAGTCTGGGCCAAGTTGGTTTAATTCTGTGCCATCTCTGCCTGTGCTCGGCTCACAGGGTGGTGCTTACTTGCCTTGGAGGGTCCAACAACAGGTCATGAGCGAGGATTTCTCCTCCTCTGGCCCCAGGACACCCAGCTGTGCTCAGCAGCCTGTTCATCTGTTCCTTCAGTATTTATCGCGCATCTGACACGTGCCCGGACTATTCTCTGTGCTGGGAGACAGGAGGGAAACCTCCTAGCTGGGGGAGCTCGTCTTTAGTATGGCAGACAGACCGTCAACAGATAAATGCATAAAGTGGGGTCAGATAACCATATAGTGGGGAAGAAAAATAAAAGAAGGTAAGGGCTTGGAGAGTAACGAGGATGGGTATTAGTGTGACTGGTCATGGAAGGACTCTTTCAGGAGGTGACCATTTGGAAACTGGGAGTGAGCCATGTGAGTATCTGGGGGGAAGCCCCTGGCCCCAGAGTGAGCATGGGACGCTCAAGAAGAAGAGC